TCGTCCGGAGCCTGTGCTCCACAACGGGAGAGGCCACAACAGTGAGAGGCCCGAGGGGCCCCCAAACCCAAAAAAAAAAAAAAAAAAAAGTAGGCTAGTATAATAATATAAACCCCTTGGCCTTTCTGCAACTGTCCTGCCAGCTCTTTACCCTCAGGTCCGAACTGGCTCAGCTGTAGCTCTTGGACCCCCTGCATGTAGGCTCAGGCATGTTCCAAATTGTGCCCGATACTGGCCCTGGGCGGGGGGACGAGGAACGACTGGATCATTTTCCAGCATTCTGTCCCTCTTGCTTGCTACTGGCTCTAACTGAGTTCTGACAGCATGGCACGTGCCATAAATTACAGTGACCTTTAAGAAAAGGGAACTTTTCAGCAATGTTGGTGGGAATGTAAGCTGGTGCAGCCACTATGGAAAAGTGTGGAGGTTCCTCAAAAAACTAAAAATAGTTGCCATATGATCCAGCAATCCCACTCCTGGGCATATATTTGGACATAACTCTAATTCAAAAAGATACATGCACCCCTATGTCCATAGCAGCACTATTTACAACAGCCAAGACAGTGAAGCAACCTAAGTGCCATAGACAGATGAATGGATAAAGAAGATGTGGTACATATATACAATGGACTATTACTCAGCCATAAAAAAGAATGAAATAATGCCATTTGTAGCAACATGGACGGACCTAGATGATCATACTAAGTGAAGAAAGTCAGACAGAGAACAACAAATAGCATACGATATCACTTATATGTGGTATCTAAAATAGGACACAAATGAACTCATCTATGAAACAGAAACAGTCACAGACATAGAGAACAGACTTGTGGTTGCCAAAGGGAAGGGGGTGGGGGAGGGAAGAATTGGGAGTTTGGGATGAGCAGATGCAAACTATTATATATAGAGTGGATAAACAACAAGGTCCTACTGTACAGCACAGAGAACTATATTCAATATCCTGTGACAAACCATAATGGAAAAGAATATGAAAAAGAATGTGTACAACTGAATCACTTTGCTGTACAGCAGAAATTAACACAACATTGTAAATCAACTATACTTCTATAAAAAAAAATAATTACAGTGACCCTTTAAAATCTAGCTTGGTCACTGCTTAATGGCTGGAAATAGGCTTAGTCCCAGTTTTAAGGTCACACTGTCCTAAACTGCAATCATTACACCATGTACCAAGTTGGGAACACCTGCACAGAGGAAAGCGTTCATTATGCAGTCGAGCACATTAATAAAAGGACACTTTTCCGAACAAAGTAAGGCAGGAGTTTCAGGTAAATTATGCTGATGTCTTTGATCATCTATGCATTCATTAGAAGGTTAAATACCTCATGGCTAATGGGCTCCGGGTTTCTAGCCACTGCTAAGAAATGGAAATTAAGTGCTGAGTTATATGATAGATGTATATATAATTATATATAAAAACACTCTCAAAGCTCAGTTTCTTCAACTAAAAATAAATAATATACACAATTTATTTACAGACGATGTAAGCAGTGGTCTCATCTTCACATGTCAACGGCAGCGAGGCTATACATTCGTTACCATGCTACCTCCTGTTGGAAAGTGAGATGCTTAGTCTAAGGGAATTTCCTAGACAGTGGAAATGATCACTTCAAAAGCAAGGCTCTTAAAAACGAATTCTAATCATTTTGTATGGAAATACATTTTCTTTTATCTCCTTAAACAGAGCATATCAAACAGAGTTTAACATTGTTACGAAAATTGTGTAACTGAAATAACATCAATAAAAACACTGTGCCATCCCGGTAACTATTTGCCTCAGCCTGTGACGGTTTTAGAGGGCAGGTCTTTTCTTCATCTGGGTCTGTCCCTCATGTCAGGCTCCCAGAAGCCTGCTCTCCTTGGTGTACTTACCAGCAGTTAACACAAGGTTCTCAGCCGGGGTGGCAATGCACTCAGATCCACAAACCACACACAGGCCGGCCAAGCAAATTTTTATCCATGTGGAAAGTCCATTTTTGCCACAAATTTATACTTTTACAATCATATCGACCTGAGCATGTCCTGCCATTTGGCTTAGAACGGACCCAACTTGCTGTGAATAACAGAGTTGTTGCGTTCCTGGAGCATCTGACAATTTTCCTCCTAAGTACACTATAGGGGTCAGGAAGTAAACTCGTCTTCCCAGATGCGGAGCACAGGAGGCCAAGGGGATGGTGCAGGCACCGTGGATGCTTTTACAGGAACAGAGAAACTGCTCATTTAAAGCTGCCCAAGCAATTACATGGTCATTATTTCCAACTTGTGTCTTGAGACAATTTTTTTTTTTTGTACTCTGCCACCAAAAATTATAACATGGAAAGTCTAGGAACTACTGGCAAGCAGCACGCTTGTTTATTTTCTGTGGGTTGGGAAATCAGGGCAGTAAGTTTTTGAGACCTGTGTGCAAGGTTAAGTATAAGCTCTGAGGGAAGCCAAGAGGGGGCTTATTTATTACACGTACTTGACTGCCAGGCTGGGAAAAGTACTTAAAATCATCTTTATTTACTTCTGGGTTCATTATTGCATTTTAGAAAGCTGAGGTTGCCTGAAAGCACATATTAGATAAGTGAGATGTCTGGAATATTGTCTTCAGCAAACAATCTCATGTCTTGCCTCATACAGAAAGCTTGGATGTACCAAATTTTCATAAAGTAAAACTCTTGGAAAGTAATACATCACTACATGGAAAACTTTAAATGTATTAAAGACACGTATCGGAAATCTTACTGGGCACAGCTGAATAAAGTAAGTGGTAAATACTGTGTTATTTCAATTTCAGCTCTCTAAGGAAGGGTTATTTCTAATTTTGCTCAGGATCTGTTTGACCACGTATGCATTTCTGAAACTACATTCCAAAAGGACTGACTGCCTTCCTGAATTGAGGATATCAGGATTCATCACAGCTCTCCTCGGCATGGAAGATTTAACAACAAATCACCACATGGATGCACTATGCCACGCAGTTGGGAAATTCTGCTCACTGAATTCTGCGTGAGAGATAGATAATCCCATGATCGCCCTCCAATGCATGCTTGTGTCAATTTAAAATGAACTCTTTTCTGGAGCAAATATTAGCTGCTTTTAGTAAGAAGCCAGTGTGTGCTACTGATAATTTTAAAGGGTTAAAAACGTTTTGCATTGACCATTTCAGTTACCGTGACATCTCAAGATTTGTAAATATCTCCTTATTCGTTTCCTAAAAGGCACATAAGGCTGGTCTGTAGGAAGTGTGAGCATGACTGACTGTTTTCCAGACATTCCTAAACATCTTTTCCTGAAGCCACTCATAAATGGAGTTATTTGGGCCGAACTTTATCTGTCCCATGGGTTTCTTTTTAAGATTCTTTGGGAGGACGGCTCCAGTGCCTTGGCCTGTAGTCCCTTTGATTTGGAGGAGGCTAATTCTTACTCTGAGCTACCGTTCGTTGAGTATGTCTGCTGCTCCAAAATCAACATACCAACTGGACACGCCTGACTTTAAATTCACACACAATGAAGGACAATGCTTTCTGCTGATTCTCGATCCTGAGGGCGTTCTGTGGGATTCTTAAGAACTCAGCCTAGAAGACTCGTGCCCAGGACTTCCATCCTTCAGTTTATACTCTGCTCACTCCAAATCCTCTTTTTTTTTTTTTCCCCAGAATCCTCTTCTTTAGTGTTCACTTTGACCTTCAACTTCACACTTGCTCACCTCCAACTAGAGGGTTCCAATGACAGTTCTGGCCCAGCCTCTCACTTCCTCATCCCGCCCCCAGGGGACCCTGCCTCTGTTCTCTGGCTGACACAGCCCCCCCTTCCTCAGGACTCCAGGGCAGACTCTGTCCCTTGGCCAGTGACAAAAAGAAAGTCTGGAGAAGACACTCTCCCTTGCATTTCATTTCTGACAGGGAGGCAAGACCTGCTCCGATTTTTGAACCTCATCCTTCATATGAAAAATAACAAAAACAATGTGAAGGGTATTAAGGTTTAGCATTTAGTTAAGGGTATTCTCTGCAGATTCACAAAAGCTTTGCAAGCGAGGTATTACGTTCTCTTCTAAAATTCCTAATGGCGTCCCGTGTACAGCATTTAAATGTTGCGTCTATGGTTTCTACAAAGGAGTGCGTACCTATTATCTACGTGGAGGAAAACTTTTCTTGATATATTAAAGCATACAACTGCAACCAACTAACATTTTTATTTATTCAACTTATAAATTAAAAAAATTCTCGGACTAATTTGACAGAACCTGTTCATTTGGAGCGTCTGTGTTCCGGTTCTGTGCTTTAAGTACTAGGTGATAGCAAATCATAATGCACTTTCAAAACAAAATATCTTAACTTTTTCTTCTTTTCTTTCTTTTTTCTTTTCTTTACAAAATCATATTCTTTGTTACTTGTTCACCTCCAGAGAAATGCTTACAAACATTTTAGACACTTGAGACCATACTACTGCAAGAGGGTAGAAACATTTATTGTAGCAGAATACTAAAGTAATTCACTCATAAGTGTGTTATTCCCCTTATTTTATTGCAGCAACTTCTGATTCTTCAGTATAAAGAGAAATCAAAAGGGAAAATCTCTACGGTCTTGGGTTAAGAAGTGTGCTGGGATCTGGTGACCTAAACCGTATGTACAGGATATAAACATATTTATACTTCATATGTACACAGTTAATGGTTATCTAGTCATTATAAATAGTAGGCTTAACTTAGAGTCTACAAAAATAATGATTTTAGATGGGCACATGCAAACCAGTACACATAAACTTATTTGTAAAACACATCTCTATGCTTTTCTTTTTTGCTTTTAAATATAAATGTTGCCACTTCACCATCAGCTAAATGATTTAAATGCAAATCCCGAAGTCCCCAACGAAAAGTATAAAATCTGCTTCTCTCCACAGAGGCACCCTGCTTTCAAGTGTTGTTCACCTATTAGTAAAGTCGAGATAATTTTGTCACATATGAATGACGGGTACAGACCCCATTTTCTCGGATTTAAGACAGTCCTCCAGAGTAAAAGCTTCCTTCGCTCCATTATACAAAAAATCTTGCAGACAGTAGATATTTGTTAAAATGTCACCTTGGCTTTTACATACTCATCCAAATGGAACAAGTGAAGCCTCCGCCCACTGCCCTGAGCCTGCGCCCTGGGACAGCGCGGCAAAGCCCTAAGCCTACTGGTTCGCGGCACCGTCAGCAAAGGCCGGTGACTGGGGGGGCACAAAAGGCTCATCCTGCTTCTGGTCCTCCTTCGCGCTGGCCGCTTGGTCCGTGATGCAGGAGAAGGACATCTGGTCGTGCTCTATGATGTGTACTTGATCCTCCTCCTTGTCTTTCTTCACATAGAACATTTTTCTGAACTTCCTCAGCTCGTGGAGCTCACAGAAGGTTTCCAGAACCACCAACATGGCAATAAGACCGAGAAGCAGGTAACCTGTGCGAGAGAAATGACAGCGTCTCAGTGCGATCAAGCCACCATATGCAAGACGCAACCTATCTGCTGATGAATAAACCCATTGCCACTTCTATAATTTCTAGGGATGTTTTGAATTCCACGGCTCAAAGAGGGATGACCCAGAGAAAAATGGAGAATGACTTAACCTCCTAGACCTAAACAGACGTTTCTCCAGAGAAGGCATACAGATGGCCAACAGGCACATGAAAAGATGCTCAATATCACTAATTATTAGAGAAATGCAAGTCAACACTACCGTGTGGTATCACCTCACACCAGTCAGATGGCCATGATTAAAAAATCTACAGATAACGGGCTTCCCTGGTGGCACAGTGGTTGGGAGTCTGCCTGCTGATGCAGGGGACGCGGGTTCGTGCCCCGGTCCGGGAGGATCCCGCATGCCGCGGAGTGGCTGGGCCCGTGAGCCATGGCCGCTGAGCCTGCGCGTCCAGAGCCTGTGCTCCGCAGCGGGAGAGGCCACAACAGTGAGAGGCCCGTGTACCGCAAAAAAAAAAAAAAAAAATCTACAGATAACAAATGCTGGAGAGGGTGTGGAGAAAAGGGACCCTCTTACACTGTTGGTGGGGATGTAGATTGGTACAGCCACTATGGAGAACAGTATGGAGGTTCCTCAGAAAACTAAAAATAGAGCCACCATACGATCCTGCAATCCCACTCCTGGGCATATATCCAGAGAAAACTCTAATTCCAAAAGATGCATGCACCCCAATGTTTATAGCAGAACTATTTACAATAGCCAAGACATGGAAGTAACCTAAGTGTCCACCAACAGGTGAATGGATAAAGATGTGGTACATATGTACAATGGAATATTACTCAGCTATAAAAAAGAATGAAATAATGCCATTTGCAGCAACAAGGATAGACCCAGAGATTATCAAACTAAGTGAAGTAAGTCAGAAAGAGAAAGACAAATACCATATGATGTCACTCATATGTGGAATCTAAAATGCGACACAAATAAACTTATCTATGAAACAGAGACAGACTCAGACACAGAGGAAAGACTTCTTCTGGTTGCCAAGGGGGAGGGATGGATTAGGAGTTTGGGGTTAGCAGATGCAAACTATTATATATAAGATGGATAAACAACAAGGTCCTACTGTACAGCACAGGGAACTCTGTTCAACATCCTGTGTTAAACCATAATGGAAAAGAATATGAAAAAGAATGTATATCTGTATAGCTGACTCACTTTGCTGTACAGCAGAAATTAACACAACATTGTAAATCAACTATATACTTCAATAAAATTAAAAAAAGAATGACTTAACCTTCTACAAACCTGGATGATTCAGAATCACATGGTGTGATTTTGGGAAAAAAAGAAGTTGGGGCTGATGAGGCATTGTTAAAGGGAGATAACACACTGTACTCACCCAAGGGCAACCTCCCCTCCACTGTATAATCAGTGCTTCTCAAAAAGCCAGTGACATTTCGGAAGAGTTTCTGATGTATCAGGAGTGCTTGGAACAAAGCTTGCCACCCTTTTCAGCACTCAATGCTTTTAGCAGTAGAAATTACAGTTTAAGCTAGATGAAAATTCCCTTAAGAATGGACGTGGAGGGACTTCCCTGGTGGCGCAGTGGTTAAAAAAACTCCACGCTCCCAATGCAGGGGGCCCGGGTTCAGTCACTGGTGAGGGAACTAAATCCCACATGCCGCAACCAAGAGTTCGCATGCCGCAACCAAGGAGCCCGCCTGCTGCAACTAAGACCCAGTGTAACCAAATAAATAAATAAATATTAAAAAAAAAAAAAAAAAAAGGAACGGATGCGGATATTTACAAGGTCTTTGGGTGTGGTTATTTACACTTTCACCCGGGCCGCTAGCAAACTAAGCTTTCCATTATGTGATCAGTCATTTCTGGGGCACACGGACCATTCATCAAATAACTCCATGTTTCTTACTCCCAAATGAAAGATAACCTGTTGCTTCAGGTAAAGTGCTATTCCTTGGAATCCGTGATAGGAAAACGGTAATTTTAAGTCAATTCCAGGGCATTTAAAATCAGTTTTCAGAAAAAAAAAGTTTTTCATCAAGGAAAGGAACAAAAACACGAAAATGAAAACTCAAAGAGCAACAAAAATCCCAGTTTCATGACCCAAAATGGTAAAACGTTTGAGGAATATTTTCAGAAAATAAATGAGCCAGGGAAGCCAGAATCGGTAGCGTAATAGGAACAAGGAGGCCGATTATGTCAAGAACGCAAAGTGACAGTTTTCCAGTATCTTTAGAATTTGGTTATTAGGTTTTGTTAATAAGATATAGCATAGTTTAGAAATAGCAATGACATTGTTAGTAGAATAACGGCAAATCTCCTTTTCCTTTATCCATTATGTAGTCAAACTCTTGAGTGCTGACAAAAATAGCCATGATGTTTCAGACAAAAGCTGCGGGACTTCAGCCTATCCACAAACTAATATACCTTTGGAACGCTCATTTGCTCCACCTAGCACATGCACGATTCAGAGTGTCGAAAAAAACTACAATTCACATGGAAACAAGCCTTAAAACGTTCTGTAAGGATTTAGTACTACATGAAAAACTGAGGATATCAAACTGTTGGGCAAAATTTATGAGCAAACAATCAGCACAAGAGAATAGAGGTAGTCACCTCTATTCATAATTAACTACAGAAACAAATTCAACATCTCTTAAGGCATGAAAAAATTAAATTCAGATAAGGAGGTCAACATTTTACCCTAATGCAAGACAGGAAAGTCTTGCATTAGGTAATTCTGGTGATACTGTAAACTCATAAGGCCATTTGGAAAGCACTGGGTCAACATGATCTATGAGTCACCAAAGGGCATGTTCACGTTGGGTCAGCCAGCCCACTTCCTGGAAAGATAACAAAGTAGAAAAACATGTAAACATACAAAAGTATTTACTGCAGTATTATTTATAATGCCCCCCAACTGGAAGCAATCTAAATATTTGATGGAGGGCTTCCCTGGTGGCACAGTGGTTAAGAACCTGCCTGCCAATGCAAGGGACACGGGTTTGAGCCCAGGCCCGGGAAGATCCCACATGCTGCAGAGCAACTAAGCCGGTGCACCACAGCTACTGAGCCTGAACTCTAGAGCCCGCGTGTCACAACTACTGAAGCCTGTGCGCCTAGAGCCCGTGCTCCGCAACAAGAGAAGCCACCGCAATGAGAAGCCCGTGCACCGCAACGAAGAGTAGCCCCCGCTCACCGCAACTAGAGAAAGCCCACGCGCAGCAACGAAGACCCAACACAGCCAAAAATAAATAAATAAATTTATTTTAAAAAATAATAAATAAACAAACAAACAAATATTTGATCGAAGCAGGACTAGATGATGGTATAGGCACCCGATAAAATATTATGCGGATATTAAAGATAAATATGGTAACTAGAGGAAATGTGCAATCACCCCTGTAACCATTTGGTAAATATTTATGGAACTTCTATGGTAGCCAGACACTGTTGAAAGCACTGGGTGTTTATTAGTGAAGCCTTTGTCCTGAGTGAGCATGGTTTCATAGAAAAGCTAAAATACATACAGTTCAACTAAGCATTTTGTCATGTTAAGACTACAGGATAGGGCCAGGCCAGAACATCGGGCTGCCTGAGTATGTACTGTGATTTCCTAGAAGACATGGCATGAGCTGAGTCTTGAAAACTTCCTGAGAAGGCAGAAATGAAAACTATACGTACAGGGGATGGTGGTGGTGAGATGAACTGGGAGACTGGGATTGACATATACACACTAATATGTATAAAATCGAGAACCAATAAGAACCTGCTGAATTAAAACATTAAATTCAATTAAATTCAAAAACAAAAGAAAACTGTACATACAGTATGTGTAATTCTACACATTGTGAAAAGACAGGAAACAGACACACAAAAATAAATAGTTTCTTGCCAATGGGTTTCTAAGTTTTCCATGACACTATATTGAATTTTTAAAATATTGTTTAAGTTATGTCACTGGCCATCTGAATTTTACGCCTATTTTCCACATTTAAAATTCTGAAAGCAGCAAACATATTCTAACTTCTTCAAAAAAGAACCAGATGGACAAATGAGATAAGCAACTGGTTTACGATTTTCCTGGTAAATGAAAGAATATGATGGATTGTTAACAGGCTACATCCTAGTCCTGGTTTTCTTGGGCTTAAAATAGTTAATAAAGTAGTGCAATTTTTTTAAATCAAAAGTTGATTATCGGGGCTTCCCTGGCGGCGCAGTGGTTGAGAGTCCACCTGCCAATGCAGAGGACACGGGTTCGTGCCCCGGTCCGGGAAGATCCCACATGCTGCGGAGCGGCTGGGCCCGTGAGCCATGGCCACTGAGCCTGCGCGTCTGGAGCCTGTGCTCCGCCAACGGGAGAGGCCACAACAGTGAGAGGCCCGTGTACCGCAAAAAAAAAAAAAAAGTTGATTATCAAGTTATTCTGTGTGCTGCATTCTTATGCTGTCATTTATAGTGTCTGTTACATTACTGGTAAGAAATTGATGGGTACTTTTAAGGTGCCTGGGAAAAAATAATTCTCAGTAATAAGACTTTTGCTTAAAGCATTTTGAAAGGAATCATGATGAAATGAAAGTTACGGGAAGGTGGCAAAATGGAAAACTTATCCATGGAAAGCAGTCAGGGCTCTGATGAGCAGCTCTCCACGAGTGGGTGAGGTGGAGCTTGGAAGTGCCAACAGAGCCCCGGCGGGGGCAGAGTCCGTGAACCCCAATACTCACACGTGATCCCAATCTTGTAGAGCTCCCTGAATTTTTGATTATAGCCCTCTCCGGGAACATAATCCCCGAGGCCAATGGTGCTCAGGGAAATGAAGCAAAAATAAAAGGATTCCAGGAAGTTCCAGTCATCCTCTAGGAGGGAGAACACCGCGGCCGGGATGAAGAAGAAACAGGACACAGTGATCACACCGAGGAGGACAGCGTGGACGATGGCCACCGCCTGCTTGGAGAAGCCCCAGCGGACGTGGAAGTAGAGGACTGGCCTGCGGGTGACATGGATGGTGACACGCTGGACCACTGCCGTCAGGAACAGGAGGGTGAAAGGGATGCCGATGACCGAGTAGATGATGCAGAAGGCCTTGCCCCCGTCGGACAGGGGCACAGTGTGGCCATAACCTGAAAGGGGAAGAGGTGGAAAACACCTTATAAATAACACACGCCTGCCGTCCAGCCGTCCTCCCCTCCCACCCAGGAGATGAGCCAGACGAAATCTACGTTGCTGCTTCAAAGGCTCTATCCTGTTACTGCAGTAAGATTCAACAGTGGGTGCCACACATTTGGGAAGTCCATCACTCTGGATCAGATCTACCCAGCTCTTCCCGACGCATCCAAGCCTGGTTTTGAGGTCACTGTTAGGCTGAAATAGAAGCTTTGTGCGCGAGGGAGCTAACACTTCGTTGTCTTAGGCCATCATGGAAAATATACCCTCCTGCCAGGAGGGTGTACCCCTCCCCACTCCGCTCCCCCCAACCCTCCCCAGGAGCCTCATTAGGATCCAAAGCCAGGACAAGCTTGCTCCAAAACACTAGAACCAGGCAGATGATGGTACAGTGGGAAGATGGGGAAGACTCAGTGAGGATACAGACATCAAAAAACAGGAAGATAAACGAAGATTAAAGCACACCAAGTCACAGGGCTGAGTGCTTCTTTTCAAATATTTTGTTCGATGATCTGGTTAAACGGCACATCCAGAAACTGTTAACATTTTTTCCGTCTTGTCATCTCTGTAGGTTCCAAGATGCCATATATTCCACAAAACAGACATAAAAAAAAAACCCACACGTTAGGGTCAGTGGTCAAAACCTATGTCTCTGATTTTCCACTAGGTTTCAGTCATTCCCAAATCAAGCCAGTCAAGAGACTTCATCCGACAAATGCCTGCAAGAGAGAAGCCAACGGACTGTTTTTAAAATCTCACAAGCCCTGGGGCTTCCCTGGTGGCGCAGTGGTTGACAGTCCGCCTGCTGATGCAGGGGACGCGGGTTCGTGCCCCGGTCCGGGAAGATCCCACATGCCGCAGAGCGGCAGGGCCCGTGAGCCATGGCCGCTGAGCCTGCACGTCCGGAGCCTGTGGGAGAGGCCACGACAGTGAGAGGCCCGCGTACCGCAAAAAAAAAAAAAAAAAAAAAAAAAAAAAATCTCACAAGCCCTTCATCCTGAAAGGATGCACATGTCTGAACAAGTCTGTCCAGGAAAAAGCCAACTAAATGCATTTTTTTGGGTGAAATCAGCTTCTGAAAAAAAACCCCTCACTCATGGGGTTATTATTGAAAAGTGGCTTCAAAATCTGATTTCTAAAATATATCCTGCTTAGAAATAACTCTGAAAAACCTTCAGCTTCAGATCTCCTGATTCTCTGCTTTATACCAATTTCCGGGGGTAGCGGGGGCGGCCCAGGGCTATGTGGCCACCAAGAAGCTGCCCCAGTTACTCCTGTGCCTGGCCTCAGCACGACAGTCAAGGTGGTTTATCCCAGAAGGTTATGAACGAATAGGGAGTCCCAGCAATCTACTGAAATTGTATCCACTTGAACATGTCTCCACACCCGTGCATTTTCTGTAAAGAGATGCCAGAGCTCAGACACTCAGAGGATTGAGAACCACTGTGCTGAGCATCGGGTCCTGAACCCATCTGGTCCTCGCACACCTAGCTGCTCCTGGAATGCTTCAGCTGATTCCGGGCATGGTTAAAGAGGGAGATGAGTCAGTTAGGGTTTCCAGAGGGTAACATGAAGGATGGAGAAAGCCTGTCAAATTCTGTTCATGCAAAAAAAGGAAGCAGCAGAAATGTGAACGCCTCACTTTTGAGGAAAAACACATTACAGAGGAATCAGACTTTATAAGTAAAGCAGCCCGTATCACAGAAGACAGGAGCCAATCAGAGCCATGCCAGGCATTAAGGAGGAAGGATATTTTCATGGTCAGAGATCTGGAAACAGAATCTGATAATGGAATCTTATTTAACACAACAAAGCCGACTGGAAAGTGATTCACAAATTTGGTAATGAGCCTCTGACCAAAAGTATCAGGAGACAACAGGGGATCAAGCAGAGACTCTAAGGGATGGATTGACTTTGGCAGGAATTGTGTAGAGAAAACATAAGATTAGCTGAATTTGTTAGACTACGTAAAAGTCTTGAAGCCATGATTTTATTACTGTTTGGTAGCATTGCTATGAATTATCTTCACTAAAAGTGTAACACACCTATATCACATAGCCCACCTCTTCTGTAGCATCTGTTCCAATAAACTACACGCTTTCAGTACTAGTAGAAAAAAAAATTAATTTCTAGTTTTAAAATACTTTAGGCTACAGTTTTTACTCTCCAATGATAATAGCTCTTTTTATTAGAATCTTAACTAAACTTCCATTTACTAAAATGTTATCTCCAAGCCATAGAGATAATCATTACAAGACTCTAGGATGGCTGTCTGCAGTAATGCTTTTTTTTTTTTTGGTCAGTAATGTGTTCCCACTAAGAGATTAAAAATCACTAAAGTGTAGATGCCTCTTGAAAGCCAGTTTCTCCTTCTGATGTTTGCATAAATACTTTTTGTTAGTGGAAAGTACACTGTAAAATTTATATCTCATCTGCAGTCTCTACACTTTCAGTGCTCTACTGAGTACACAGCAATTCTTTTGCAGTAGACAGCTGAATGCACCAGACAGAAACCTTCAGTCCTAGTGAATTATAATGAAGAAGTGAATAATTTACTCAAGTTCAGTCAACTGACTCCCCAGATAAATCGCAAAGCAAAGCTCATATTTTTATCTCAGAAACACATTAAAATCCTTTACAAACTAGGAAGGATTTAGCAAAATGTTAATACCTTACTTATTTGGTGTTCCTTAAATTTTTCTAAGGCTATGCATATAATTTTGGGGCCCAAAAGATTGAGCATGGCAAAGTCTACTGGAAAAACGAACTTCAAAAACTTAGGACCCAGGGACGTCCCTGGTGGCGCAGTGGTTAAGAATCCGCCTGCCAATGCAGAGGACACGGGTTCAATTCCTGGTCCAGGAAGATCCCACATGCCGCGGAGCAACAAAGCCCGTGAGCCACAACTACTGAGCCTGCATGCCACAACTACTGAAGCCCGCGTGCCACAACTACAGAGCCCATGAGCCACAACTACTGAGCCCACGCTCCGCAACAAAAGAAGCCACCGCAGTGAGAAGGCCACGCACCACAACAGAGTAGCTCCCACTCGCCGCAACTAGAGAAAGTCCGCGCACAGCAACAAAGACCCAACACAGCCAAACATAAATAAATAAATAATATAATATAATATTATATATATATATATTTAAACATCAAAAACAAAAACTTAGGATCCAGAGACGAAACTAGGATGTACAAATGTTCTTATAGAGTAGCCTCCTATCCCACAATTGCTGGGTTTTCTGTTCTGATTCTGCACCTGTAGGGCAGGTAGGAGGATATGTATCATGCGGGTGAGGGTGTAGGGGGCGCATCACACCGATGACAGTCTCCCAAGAAATCTGGCTTCCCAATCTGTCACTCTAACTAAACAGCCCTGACACGAGGCTAGCCAACATCCAATCTGGAGCCATGCCATGCTGGACACGGGCCTTCTAGTTTTTCTTGTATTTACATCCTCCTGAATGAGATCCAAGAGAACCTCTGCGGGCTCCTATTCCGTCCATCACAGCAAGTCACAAATGTGCAATTTCTTCACATGTACCTGATGCTTTTGAGAGAAGTGCCGCTCACCACTACCTCTTGTGGTGACCCTGCTTATATAAAAAAATACTCTTGGGAATTCCCTGGTAGTCCAGTGGTTAGCAGTTCGAGCTCTCACTGCTGAGGGTCCGGGTTCAATCCCTGGTTGGGGAACTAAAATCCCACAAGACATGTGGCACGGCCAAAAAAAAAAAAACAAACCTCTCATTTATTCATACTATTTAATATAACACGGTACGATGTATGCATTTTCCATTAAGTTTGCTTGACACATGCTAAAAAAAAAGTTACACAAGAATAATCTCCAGCTCGGAAGTCAACCCTAGGAGAAAGTCTGAAATAGGTCGCCAACGCTTCGTCTTCCGTAAAAGAGACTTTCATTTGCAATCCTGGATTTCAGCTTCTTTGTATCTCTTTCCCACTAGATTGTGAGGCCCCTGAGTGGGAGATCACATCCTCCTCCACTGTGAATCTCTCCCTGTTCCCCGAAAAGTGCTGGTCAATCCACGGAGGCAAGTAACAGCGGGGCTGTGACCGCAAATTCAGGAGGGCTACAAACTCACTGTACAGCAATGAAGAGGCTTCATTCAGGTCAAGTTGCCTTGTCCTGCCACTTGAATCTTATCTTTCACTTGAAATTCGTTTTTGTTCCACAGTTTCCATAAGTGGTTTATTTCTAGATACCCTGCATACAACAGGTCTTCAAAATTCCTGTTTTACAGCAATCCTTTTTAAAGACCCGCATATGCGTAAACTCTGTTCAACCCTCCCACCCAGGCCATATACACAACAGGGAACGTACAACTTGTGTTACTTTGCTTATAAAAGGAAGTGTGTTTACCAGGGAGAGAGACTCAAGGGAGGTCTAAAGCAGACCCAGTAGAAACAGTGGCAAAGGTGGAAAGTGGGCTACACTCAACACATGCGATGAAGGAGGCACAGATGGTAAGAGGTATCAGACGTAAGACGTCTTGGGAGGGGCAAGTGCTTTTTTCAGTATCGCTTCTGCTGTCCCATTCCTTCAATCCTTTTCTAAACACTTTGCCTGCTTCTACTCAATCACGATGGCTTCACATCCAAA